AAAATAATAACAAGATTTATGTACCTAGCCTTACACACACACTTAACTTATTTTTATCCAATGATAATCAAATTACGACTTTGATAATATTTTAACTAAACTTTAATTGTTTTCCTTAAAACAGGTGAGATGGTTAGAGTTTATTTATATTTAAGGCTAAATAAAATATGCTGCTACTCCTCTAGTCATCTTTATAACACAAAAAGGGAAGATATATTTTGATCATATTTATAAGTTATATCATTAAATTTTTTATACGAGTGTACAATTTACTTTTTCTTTGTTATTGTGTAGATTTTGCCCTTTGCTCTCATGAGATTTAGTTAAATAGGAATAAACATATGTTACATTTATGACAGAGCTAAGAAAATTTAAAGTTTTCTTGATTTTGGTAAAATATATTAAAAGTAATTTATAAATAAATAGGAACATTCAAACATATGAGTGCTCTCTTAAGAGCTAGGTCTATATTATAGAAGGTATTTTTTATCTATTTTATAAGAAGTTTTGATAGTTTCAATAAATATTAAATGTTTTTTTCAATATATGCTTATATTTAATACTGATATGAGAAAGAGTATAAATTAATATGATATTGCAATTTAGCATGGTTAATAGGTAATATTGGATATTACTTAAATTAATTTAATTACAAATTTGATGCTTTTAAATTTAATTATTTTTAATGGTATGTGTGTATTAATTACAAGCGTCTTATATTATGAATTAGAGGGAGCATATATTAATTATTTGAATGGTATGTGTGTATTAATTACAAGCATCTTATATTAGGATTAGAGGGAGTTATATTAATATAATTGCATGAATGTATGCGATTCACTCAGATCAATAAGTAACAATACATCTCCATTATTGATGCGATCCTACATGAATCTCTAAAGATCATGCTTGATTAATGTTAATTAATTGCTTGCCTCAACTTTTGTAACCAAGGGCAAGGCATTCTATTTAAATAGCGTTATGGATTGCATATATAATTATACCTACTTCCAAATTTTAAATATAAGATCTATATATAAATTGCATTGTAAACTAAAACTTATTTTAGACAAAAGGTAATTAAACTCCCTCCGTTCCTTATTATAAGAGACAAATAACCAAAGTACGTTAATCAAAAAAACCGTTTAAAATTAGTTAAGAACAATTAATGTGTAAAAAGTATAATTTTTTCTAAAAATACCCTCATTAATAAGGAAGGAGAGCATGAGAGAGAACAATTAAATTATTAAAAGAAAGAGAAGTGGGATGGAGAGAGAGTGTGATGGAGATAATAATTGGTGTAAAATAGTAAATCAACACAAAAAAGTAGAGACAACTTGTAAGTGTCTTTATATATAGGAACATGCATAAGCACAAAATGTCTCTTATAATAAGGAACGGAAGGAGTAATAAATAATTGTTGTCGAGCATATGTCATTAGCAGCAGTCTTTTTTATACATACCGAACTATGAAATGTGTATATGGTAATTACTATTATAGTGCAAACACATGGAGTCATGAACACAAACATTAGAGGAAAACGGATCAGCTTTATGCCATTTTCTAGGTTCTTACTAGCCACCAATTTCCTTCTTTTCTTCCCTTTATAATTCTTCGGGCAAGAGTATCACTGCTGTTGTTTAATACTTCCTGGTGTACTTAACATAAAATCTTATTTGATTTTTATTTTAGTTTTAAATATAAAATTTTAATCTACTTTATTTCTCGTATTTATTTATTTATTTTTCAAAATAGTCTTTCTAATAATGATAGTTCTAGCCAATAAACTTGATTAGTAAGGATATTTGTGGAAAAACAATACTTATTTGTTACAAATAAGTAACTTAATTTTTTTCATTTATTCAATTAAGTCAACTAACTCTTATATTTAAGACCGGAGGTAGACTTCATTAGTTCCTAAATATAAGATTTAGTATAGGAATTTATTTGGGTCCTAATTGTAAAAAATTTAATTCTCTTTACCTCCAAAATTTATAATATTTTTCTAAACTCTCTATTGATTGCGCTTATTAAAAGAATTTTTAATTAGGAGAGTAGTTTCTAATACAAATAATTAGAAAAAGAGATTTGTATTTAAAAAACTTATAGTGTCTTATATATTGTCTCCCAGATAAGTTTTGCCTGTTTGATTGTATTTTAATTGAATCAACTTTTGGCCAAAACAAATTTAATTGAATCAACTCCTATAGCTCCCGGTAATTATGATTACTGCACGTAGCTCAAACTTAGTGTTGCCAATAAAGGCTTCCTCACTAATAAAGTGACGTTTAGTAGAAGGATTAGTTTATGACGAATCAATAAGATATTACTTATGCCTGGTAAGAAAGAAAAAATGCTCTTAAAGGGTCAGATTTGAAAAGTCCTTTTTCTTTTTGGGTGACATGAAAAGTCCTTTTACATGGCCGCGATGATCATTGACGGTCTGCTCATTTATTATTGTGGGCCACTGAATCGCCCAAACTTGTTTGTGAGCTAGTGATGTGGGCTCCTCAAGGCCCAAAATAATGGCATTAATTGATTCCTTGTCACCGTCTCGCCGACCAGTTCGGCCGCGTGACCGCGTCCAGCAGAAATCTTCTCGCAGTTTCTTTCTTGGGCTCCGCATGGTTTCACCATGTTGGGTCTAGCTAACTTTAAAACCTAGCTTCCCCACAACCAATCTTCAAAAGAGATTTTCACATACCAATAGGAGTTGATCTAAGTGGTAAGCTGTTTGGTATCGCTTAAGCGATGTCTCAGGTTTGAGCCTCAACGTATGCAGAAATCCCTGTTGGGAGACTCACTCACCACAGCTCGATGCGCGACGCAGTCGGATGTAGTCGGAGTAAACTCCGGTGAACTGGGTGGGCAACAAAAAAAAAAAGAGATTTTCACATTTTAGCTTTTTTGATAAGAAAATAATGCTTTCAATAGGATAAAATTTCTTTCACAATATATGATATATCTATTCATTTTTCACGACTAATTATGGTTGAACTCATTTTATTCTATTTATAAATCACTTTTAATATGTTTTATTGAAATCAAGAATAACTTAAACCTGATTAATCAATCTTAAAATTTAACAATTTTTTAATTTTTTTCCATTTTTAATATATATTATATTCTATAAGAATAAATCTACCCAAATATATGATGAATAAAATTGTACATTCCTCTCTAGAGAAATCTGAATTCAAGCTAGCGTTGTTTGTTTATGTAATCTTATTACTTATTAATAAAATAAATATAATATTATTCTAATTTTAAAATAAATATAATATGAATATAATTTTAATAAGTTATCCAACAAACAAAGAATTTTAAATAAATAGGATTTTAAAATAAAATTGAAAATTCGAAACTGGAAGTTCTAAGATCAAAACTAATAATTGATTAAAAGGGGAATTATAATAATATTCAAAAAAATTACAATAGAAGTTTCAGATTGTTTGTTGTTTACTCTGAAACTTGTTGCTTTGATATTAGAAGTTGTTAGTAGCTTTAGAGTCTGATTGTAATTCCGGTTAATTAAAAAAAAAAAAAAAGAACTCGATTGTAATTCTCTTTTAATCATATTGCCAAAAATATCCTTGCTCTCTCTGCGTATCATTTTTTTTCCGAAGGCTTCTGCCTTCCCTTTCCGTCCTTCCCCTTTCCTCCTCGTCGACTCCCACTCTACACCACCGCCACCGGCAACACCGCTTCCTCTACTTCATCCTTCTTCCTTGCTCACCTCATACTTATCCGACGCCAGCTAATTCTTCTTCGCTGTCCTCACCCGCTTCCATTTTCTTCTCTGAGAATCTGGGCCTGCGGGAGCACCAGCAGCGGCGGCATCTTTGAACTGAACACCACCAGCGTCGGCCTCCTCGGGCGGAGCACCACCAGCGTCGACCTGTTCGAACTGAGTACCACCAGCCCTTTTCCTCTCCACCTTCCTCTAGTCGAGTAATCCAATACCCTTCTCCACTCTCTCCGGCGACAATCTTCTTCTAATCTTTGGCCGGTGAACATGAGTTGATTTGAGATCCATTGTTGAAATCGTTGTTTGAAATCCCATACGCGGGGTTGTGATTTAATCTGTTTGTTTGAATCTTTTTAGTTTATGCCATTTAATCTGATATCGTTTGAAGCTTTGTTTAAGTCTCTTGAAATCAATTTGTTAATCTTCGTGTGAGTTAAATATAGCTAAACCGGTTTCGTCGCCGGCGAGGAAAGGCGGCAGGGAGGGGGTTTGTTTTCTCGGTCGGTGGTATTCCTGTCATTCTACTTTTATACATATTAATTAAATATAAAAATTAAATTTGTTTATTTGTGGATTCAACGGGTCACATTTCTTTCTTGCCTATTGCCCATTGTTTGTCTTAACGGAAAAGGAAAACCATCAACAGCGCCCATCGTCCTCAACATTAATTCCTGAGATTTGATTTTCTTCCATTCTGAGTAGACCTTGGACTAGAAAAGTAAAACCTCGCCTAACCCCCCGACCCGCGTTAAATGCGTGAAACTCTTTCGCCACATTGCATTTCCTCGAAACTCACGCTTCCGTGATCATACAAGGCTGTCTGAGATTTTTCCCTTTCTTCTCTTGGTCGGTTTTTCTCTCGGCCATTGAACAATAACTCTTCGTTTCGGAAAATCTTGGCTATTTGTGTTGAAAGCACGCAGATTAGTTCAGATTCGGACCAGATGGGTTCGGAGGACAAGAAGAAGGGCTATTGGACCCTATGTGTTTGGGTGCTGGGTCCTCTTATTGCTATCTTTGTTGCCATGGCAGTGTTATACAAAACTTCTCCCAATATGGCTCTTTTTGGAGCTATCAACGGAGCTTGTCAGTGTGCTCAGGTAATTTGTCTGTGCTTCAGTTGACTTCAAGATCACAGAGTACCTATATGGGATCGTCGAATTGCATCACGATTCTTCTGATTAAAGTGAAAATATGGAGTTTCCTATCTACATTGGAAGTCATGACGTGGTTTATAGCATGCTTCGTGCCTTTTGGAAAACTTTATTGCTTCGAAGGAAATATTTTCTCCTTTGTATTATACTTAAGGAATCAAATTTCCGATTGGAAGCTATTTTCTGGACAAATCTTATTTTCAGAAGATTCATCTTTGGTTAAAATTCAGATGCTTGGTGCGATGTAGAAAGTGATTTAATGCTAATTCCTTTCTGTTCTACATAATCACTTATTTTGTGGTTTATATTTTTTCTTTCTGATCTGCATATGCCCCCCCTTGCAGGGTACGCACAAGTATAGTGGCATAGTGGAGGATTGTTGTTGTGACTATGAGACCGTGAACCATATTAACGTGGAAGTGTTGCATCCATCGCTTCAGGAGCTTGTGAAAACCCCATTCTTTCGATATTTCAAGGTTTGCCGGTCTTCTCTTAAATCGAGAATATCTTGACTTTCCATTACAAGTACCGAGGATGTCCCAATAATACGTTTTACAATTGAGTTTGAAGAAGATCTTCTAGTGTTGGAGTGTCTTGTTAGAATTAGTTCATATCCGTGTTTTAGCTTGGATGCTAGTTAAACCTCTGGCAGAATATGAAAAATCTTTCTAGAGAGAAGGGGAGTATGTCTGCGTCTTTTTTTGGCCAGTAGACAGTGTGCATGTGATTATTTGAAATGTTAATGCTTGTATGCTGCCGGACTCATGCAATGAATGACAAAGGTTGGTTGTTCTGTGGTAGGTTAAGTTATGGTGCGACTGTCCTTTTTGGCCTGACGATGGCATGTGCCGCTTGCGGGACTGCAGTGTATGTGAATGTCCAGAGAATGAGTTTCCAGAATTATTCAAGAAGCCTCGTCGCCTTCCAGCGGATGACCTTATTTGTCAAGAAGGAAAACCTCAAGCAGCTGTTGATCGAACCGTAGATAGAAGAGCTTTCAGAGGATGGACAGTAACTGACAATCCCTGGACTAGCGATGATGAGACTGACAATGGTTTGTCACTTTATATGTATGAATGCTTTTAAACAACATTGCATTTTATCCTGGTTAATCTCCAAAATATTATATATTTATGCTGGAGTACTGTTGCTAGTGTTCGCAATTGACTTTGGTCTTCATGGTTATCTTGAGACTCAATAAAGAGCATCTCAATTGATGCCAATTTTCAATTTTTTTTGATGTACAGATGAATTGACTTATGTGAACCTTCAACTAAATCCTGAAAGATATACTGGTTACAGTGGTCCGTCTGCAAGAAGGATATGGGATGCTATCTATTCTGAGAACTGCCCTAAATGTGAGTTGCCTGTTAAAAGCTTATACCCTTCGGTCATTTCTTCTCACCCTCTTCATAATTTTTTTATACAACCTAGTGAGTGCCAAACAAAATAGGTCAGAGCTCCTATGGAGTTTATGGGGCCTCTAATTAAATTTTGGAGCCAAGTAAATTTCTATGATGCCGGATTAAACTAACTTTTAAAGTGAGCAACCTCTCTCTTTTTATCTGTATCTTTCTTCAATAGATGAGGTTAGCCATTTGGATGTGCACTTTAAAAATTTAAAGATGTCAGCCATGCTCTCTTTGTTTCTTTACTTTTGAGAAATGATTATCTTTGAAGAAATAATGAAAGAGTAATTGTTTTCCTTACTGTATATTGATGTTGGGTGCTTTTATATGAAATTGATATCTATTTGCATCCTTTATAATCCACTGATGAGAGAAAATGTTTGCCTTCTGTAGATCCATCCGAAGAGTCATGCCAGGAGGAAAAAATTTTGTATAAATTGATATCTGGTCTTCACTCCTCCATATCAATTCATATAGCTGCTGATTATCTACTTGATGAAACGACAAACTTGGTAAATTTGAGTTTTTTTCAGTAGTACCTGATCCTCTTTTTGAGTAAAATTTTGCATTGCTTTTGCAGATAGGTAAAGTTCATCTTCTATTTCGGCATGCGGACTGCTAACTGGTTTTGGGTTTTAGCCTGAAATTTTTTTGATTTGGTTTTCTTTCAGAATAATAGTCTTTATTGACTGATGGACCTTTTGGAGTGGTGGACATTAAATTAAAACAAACTTAATCATTTGCCTAATATACTTTTTTTTTCCCTTCTTTGGTAATTCCAGTGGGGTCAGAATCTTACTCTAATGTATGATCGAGTCTTAAAGTACCCAGATCGTGTCAGAAATGTGTACTTCACCTTCCTTTTTGTCCTGCGAGCAGTAACCAAAGTGAGTATAGATTGTCCTACTATTTTTACATACAGTCAATAGTCACCATGATATTTTTTTGTCTTTACGACTGGTTCATAATAGTTCTTTTACCATCTACAACTGAATACTCTTTAGGCTGGGGAGTATCTAGAACAGGCAGAATACGATACAGGTAACCCTATTGAGGACCTTAAGACACAATCCTTGATGAGACAGATGCTTTACAACCCCAAACTTCAAGCAGCATGTCCAGTTCCATTTGATGAAGCTAAGCTGTGGAAAGGCCAAAGTGGTCCAGAGCTGAAACAGAAAATTCAGCAGCAGTTCAGAAATATTAGGTATCTCCTTAAATATAGTAGGTTTAACACTTGCCTTTACTAAATATCTTCTAAGTTAGAGAAACTCCAAAATTTTTAAAATGGAACTTTGTTGACGCATAGTGTCTTTTGAATTAATGCTCTAGTTTTCTGAATTCTGATACATATTTAAGAAGGAAGATTGATTAGTAGTGGGTTCTATTTCCTCCTATTAGATAATTAGGTATGCGCAGAAAAAAAAAAATTATCGGAAAAAATAGACACTGATTGGATTTTGACACAATTTCTGTGTTTAGATTATGTTTTGTACCTGGGTGTGCTTTCCCAATCCCATGGGTAATTTACTGAATTTCTTCCTTCCCATGATCCTTAGCGGGTTTTGTATGTAAACACCATGTGATATGGGGAATAACACAGGTATATGGGAGCGAAGCATAAATTTATGTCTGGTCTTTCGCTAATATGTTACTAGTGATTCAGTTTGCAACCTGCTTCATTCGATATGTTTGTCATTAGTAATGACATCATCCTTTGTGGCATGCAGTGCAATAATGGATTGCGTGGGATGTGAGAAATGTCGATTGTGGGGTAAACTTCAGGTTCTTGGTCTTGGGACGGCACTAAAAATTCTCTTTACTGTTGATGGTCAAGAAAATGGGGATCAAACAGTAAGTGCATTTCCTGTAAATTCATTTTGCTCATGGTTGTCACTTCTATTCATCTTCCTGAATTCAGAAGGGGTATATATTTTCGATCCATTCACAGGTCCTTCCACCTTGCTAAGTTTTGAATACGAGACTCAAATGAATTTTTTTTAAATAAATGAAATTCTCTTATAATTTAACACGTAATTCTTCAGAGGTTATCACCTTATTAACTTCGTTGGAAAAGTTTGTAGAACCAGGACGCTGGCTTCTAAAACTTTGCTGATTTTTTTCCCTTTATTTTTTTTCACTCTTGGATGCATGTTAAATGGATTTCCTCTTTGCTGTGTAGATGATATCTTGAACTTGTAAACACGGAGTAAAATCTTTTTGTGAGTATATTTAGGGAATCTTTTAAAAAACTAACGAGTATATAAACTGTGCCACCATTCGCATGCTTGCTGCAAGAATTTGTGAGTTGTGTTCTATGGCCAGTTGGCTGACCAAACTCATTATGCTGCACTTTATTGTCTTCAGCTACAGTTGCAAAGAAATGAAGTAATTGCCTTGATGAATCTCCTTAACCGGCTGTCTGAATCAGTCAAATTTGTTCATGAAATGGGACCCGCAGCTGAAAGAATTGTTGAAGGGCATGTTTCTACTCATAGTTTGATCAGCTCATGGAACAAAATTTGGTCATCTATAGTCAAAGCTTAGGTAAAATGGTTTCTTTTGTGGATTTGCTGTGTCTTTTTCACTAAAGTGTTTGAATTGAAACCAAATCATGATTTTAAAAGTGATTTTATGTTATATGAAATAAGTATGTGAGAGGAGTTTTGTTTATATTTGTATAAATTTTAAAAAGTTTTTTTTGGGTAAACCAAACGCCCCTGTAAATGCCCAATTGGTTTGACGTGGTTATTGTTCCTTTTTGTGTGATATTTGCAGGCACGTTTTGTTGAGCCCTGTCATACTGTACACATTACAACCAACACAAGGAAGGCTTCAGAAGCCAGAGGCCATTGTCTTAGTTGGGAAATTTTACAAGGACATGATAGTTGTGTATATTGACTAATTGTATGTGGCAAGTTTGAAAATTTTGAACACAGGCAAAGAAACGCATTACCATGATACACCTTCTTTTATGAGCACATAGAATGAGAGAATAACAAATTTACATCAAGATTATTGTTCAGAACACTGCCATCTTCGGATCTATTTTAAATATAAGTGTTTTGACTTTTAATTAAGAGGGGTGGCTGAAGGGAGGGTTTTTTTTTTTGGGGGGGGGTTGTCTGGTTAGGAGCATGAAATATTTTTATATTTATATTTTGGTTTTTAGTCATTATAAATAATTATAATTTTTAAAATCATCTTCAATATATGTTATTTCTTCTAAATCTTTTCCTCTAATTTTCTAAACATACGAACAGCAGATTCGTTTTTGGCTTACTGCTCAACGATGATGTCTACCCGCGGGAGATCACTGCAATTCTAGACAATCGTATTAGATTTAATTACTTAAAATTGATAATTTTTTTAAAAAAGTACAGATTACCAAAACGGTTCCTCCCCTCCTCAAACAAATAGTATAAAAGTCCCTCTTATTACCCCCAAAAAGAAAATGTGATGTCAAAATCCAAGGCTCAGATTCATCATCCCAACGTTTGTCCAAAAAAAAAAAGAAAAATCACATTAGGTCGTACTCAAGAAAATTGAATATAAAAAGATTTCTTGAAATTATAAAATTATTCTGAAGTCTTAAAGGATTTTTTTGCAATAAATTCTATTTGTTTAATTACTAAATTGTACTTATTATTTTTTTAAAGTTTGTATTGATAACTGAAAGAGTAGTCGTTGACAACTTAATGTGTAAGAATTGATAACTATCGCAGTAGGTATTGACAATATATGTATTATATTTTGTGATATGTTGAGAAAATGTATTGTTAATACCTATCAATTCTTACTTTTTAAATTATCAACGACTGCTCTTTTAATTGTTAATACAAATCTAAAAAAAAATAATTTGATAATTAAATAAATAAAATTTATTACAATAAAATTTTTTGAGAATTCAGAATAATTTTATGATTTTAAGAGATTTTTTATATTTAATTTTTTTGAGTGAACTTAATTATAATTTTCCCAAAACAAAAAAGGAGATTCGGCGTCCGCCTGTGAAGAGCATCCAGATTCCTCAAAGGAATAGGCGGGAAAGTCGAAGGGTAGCTTCACCGATCTTGGCGAGCTTCTTCGTCGATGCTTAACTGATCTTCTCGGTTCAATTTTTTTTTTCCTTTTTATCTGAAGAATTTCTCCAATTCTACATGTAGGTTATTGATGCTCTGTATCTAGTTCCAACTTTGTGTTCACATTTTCTTTTCTGTCGGGGATTATTGAGTGTGTTGCCATCTTGATTTCCATTCGTTGCCTTGAAAGATATGTGGCTTGGGTGAAAGATGCGCCTCAGTATGCATTTTTCAGGACTCGGTTTTATTAATGATGGAGTAATTGTTGGTAGTTTATTAGGTTCAAACCCATCTTATTCATCTTATTACAAAAGTGTTTCAGTTGATATGAGAAGCGTTTTCCAAATTTACTGTGGCAGTAAGTAAGACCAATTTCAACAAAATTGTTCAGACGAAGTTTGGTTTTTCATCCGTATAGAATCACCAACTGAAGCATTTTGATTTCTCTATCTTCAAGTTTTGAGTAGCTGAAGGAAAGTCGACCATCTGTTCTGATTGAGCTCTAAGGTACGTGGCTAGATTTACTAAGCATTCAGACTTCATGCACAAGGATAGGAATGGGCGTAGATTCATACCTACAAAAAAGGAGAAAACAAAGGCTCAGCCTTTGAGGGAAAAATGACAAAACGTTGTGTTTTGGGTTAATGGAGATTGCAGAGGCGGCGGAGGGATTAGTTAGGGGAGAGAACCTGACTCCGAGCAGAAGGCTTCAAGTTAATGAAGCACTTGATCAAACGCCATTACAGCGATCTTGTCTCATATCTCAGGAACTCCAGGGAGTCATCAATCAAAGATTCCAAAATCCTCCAACACTGTAAGTCAGGTGATCTTCCTGAGGCGCTTAAGCTTCTGAACACCATTAGTTCTGGTGATATCCGTGTCAAACCAATTTTATACGCCTCCTTGCTCCAGACTTGTACCAAGGTCGTTTCTTTTGGCCATGGCATCCAAATCCACGCCCATGTTATCAAGTCTGGTCTTGAAACCGATCGTTTTGTCGGCAACAGCTTGCTCGCTCTTCATTTCAAATTGGGTCCCGATTTCTCGGAGACTCGGAGAGTGTTTGATGGCCTTTTTGTGAAGGACGTGGTGTCATGGAGTTCAATGATTTCTGGGTATGTGCGTGTGGGGAAACCCCAAAATTCTCTGCAATTGTTTTCGGAAATGCTTGAATCTGGGGTTGAACCTAATGGTTTTTCTTTATCCGCCGTCATTAAGGCATGTTCTGAGCTTGGTGATTTAAAGCGAGGAAGATGCTTCCATGGAATGGTCATGAGTCGTGGGTTTGATTCGAATCATGTTGTTTCTAGTGCTCTGATTGATATGTACGGAAGAAACCACGGTGTCCAGGACGCACGCCAGTTGTTTGATGAATTGCTTGAACCAGATGCTATATGTTGGACATCAGTTATTTCAGCATTAACAAGGAATGATTTGTTTGATGAAGCTTTGGAATTTTTTTATGTTATGCACAGAAATCATGGGCTATCTCCAGATGGATTCACGTTTGGGACTGTGTTGACAGCTTGTGCTAACTTGGGGAGGTTGAGGCAGGGCAAAGAAGTTCATGCTAAGGTTGTTACATCAGGGCTATGTGGAAATGTGGTTGTCGAGAGTAGTCTTGTGGACATGTATGGAAAATGTGGCTCTATTGGAGAATCCAAGAGTATTTTCGATAGAATGAGCAACAAGAATGCAATTTCTTGGTCTGCCATGCTTGGTGTATACTGTCAAAATGGAGAATGTAAAACAGTGATCAATCTTGTTAGGGAAATGAAAGAGGTGGATCTTTACAGCTTTGGGACTATTCTTCGGGCATGTTCGGCACTAGCAGCTGTAAGACACGGGAAAGAGGTTCATTGCCAGTACATAAGAAGGGGTGGGTGGAGAGATGTTATAGTAGAGTCAGCCTTGGTTGACTTATATGCAAAATGTGGCTGCATTGATTTTGCACAGAGATTGTTCTTACTTATGCCAGTTAGAAATCTGATAACGTGGAACTCGATGGTTGGTGGACTTGCTCAGAATGGAAGAGGGAGAGAAGCACTTGAGTTATTTGAGAAGATGATCAAAGACGGGATGAAGCCTGACCACATAACTTTTCTTGCTGTTCTTTTTGCTTGTAGTCATGCGGGTTTGGTTGATGAAGGGAGAAAGCTTTTTGCCTCAATGACAAAGGACTATGGGATTAAACATGGCATTGAGCACTACACTTGCATGATCGATCTTTTAGGCCGTGCTGAGCTGATAGAAGAGGCTGAAAACTTGCTTGAAAATGCAGATTGTAGATATGATTCATCACTTTGGGCAGTTCTTCTTGGAGCATGTACCAAATGTTCAGACTCTATAGCCGCAGAGAGAATCGCGAAGAAGATGATTGAGCTGGTACCTGATTACCATCTCAGTTATGTTCTTCTGGGTAATATTTATAGAGCAGTAGGCCGTTGGAATGATGCTGTGGAGATCAGAAAGTTAATGGAAGATAGAGGGGTTAAGAAGATGCCTGGTAAGAGCTGGATTGAAACTGAGAGTCAACTGGGTTCTAGTCTACGCACGCACAATTTGAGCAATGCTGGAAAAGCAGTGTCTCCATGAGTGAAATTGAAAGTGGCGGTTGGTTTGTTAATGAATTTCATGGCCTTCTCGAAGGACATGACTTAGCAAATGATTCACTCTTTAGAAAGCCTACTGTGAGATGTAATAATTTCAACTGAAAATTTTATGGCAATCACCTGCTTAATTTTTTTTTCCACTCAAGTTTCTTTCCCCATTTAACTTGCTAATTGATCATTAGTTTTTGAGGTAGCCCGTTCTCTTGGGCCATCAGCGTCCAAAGAAACTTCTTAAATGAATTCATGTATGAATAGAATGAATGTTACTTGCTAACGGAAGTTGAGTCCAGTAAAAATAGCTAGTTTTTTATAAAGTGATAAAACAATATTCAAATTTTTGTTGGGAAAAGTATTAATATTTAGTGTCTTTGAATAAGATTTTCTTCAATAAAAGAATACATATATTTAACAGAAAAAAAATAAATGTTTCTTTTATTTGTCAAAATGACAACAAAAATAAGCTTCGATCATCATCTATCAATATCAATTTATATGATTTTATTGCAGTTTAAATTATAAGCAAAACTTATATTGAATTCTCCAATAGCTTGGAATGGATATATGCCGGTACATCACTATATCTTAACTTGTAAGAAAAAGTATAAAAAACCTAAAACCAATTTTCACTATTTTTTTTTTCCCCTTTGGGGCAGACAATCATTTTTCCACTTCTGACGATTTTGATTTGATGCATTAACATATCGTTAGGCAAAAATAATAAAATAGAACCTGTTTATCATTTTTCCATCTTTACCCTTTTTTAAATCAACGAAAACGACTCATTGTCTTATCTTTTTAAGAGTTTCATCAACACTTTGCCTGTCATAATTTTGTTAAATTAAAATTAAAAAGTTATACTTTATTTAGTTAGAATAAGAAGTACGAAATTGAGATGGTAATACAACTCAAATGGTGCATTTGAATTCTTTTTATTTTTTTAATAGTTTATGCTCTTTTCTCATAAAGACTAAAAATCGTTGATGGTGAAAAATTGTCACAAAAGCTCAAAAAGCATAAGGATGGGCTGAGGCTGAAAAGAGAAGAAAAGTAGAGAGATGAGTATTTCTTACGCGACAAATAGTAGATATTCATAGTCGTCGTCTTCGTAAACGGAAAATTGGAACATTGGGATTCTTCTCTTGCTCATGGCTTGCTGTGCAGGTGATCGCTTCCTTCCCTCTCTGTAAGCGAAGAATATAGTGCTCAGTGATTCCTAATTCTCTGTAGGTAAGCAATCTTTTCCCTCGCTAACTTATGCATCTGGTAAAGTCGGTTTCTTCATTTCCGAATCTCGCTTCGAAAAGACATTCAGTTCAGCTTGTGCTTTGGTCAAGCCTGGGATCAACGTAAATTACAAGGTAATATATTAAGTTTATGAGAATATGTGGGAGACGAATAAAGGATCACAATTATGTTGGAGTAGGATATCTTTTGAATTATTCTATTGTTTTGATTGAGCTCGAAATGGTCAGATTATTGCAGTGAATTATCAGATTGAGTATAGGTTGTGTTTCGGGAATTTTTATCTGCATTTAATAGGCTTAATTTGATATTTTGATTTATGAAGAATAAACGCGGATTTGCAAAGGTGGAAAATTGGTTGATTATATTACAAATTATAGCTATTTCCTAGTTAAGTGATTCGGAATTTTGACTTTCAATGCAGTGTTGGGAGAATGCAAGTGCTGCAGCAGGTTGATTTGTTAGTCTGTTGAGCGGCATCTTGAACGTTGGAGAGTTGTGACAATGGAAGTTGAGGCTGGGAGTTCTTCAACAGTTGCCACGGGTGGTCATGCTTCCCAACCAATCTCAGTACGTTCGAGGCGAAATAATGGTGTGTTTTTCTTGTTTCTCACGGCAGTTTTTCGATTGTTTCTTTCTTCTTCTTCTTCTTCTTCTTTTTTTTTTACGCCCACAGTTGAGGACTATTCTGTTTATGTTTTTATCTCTATAATTTCTGATAAATTCCGGTTTCTCTATTTGATATGTCTGTAATGGACTGGGTTGTTACTGGGACATCATCTAGACATGTCAGATTATAGGAGGTTACTTACACACATTAGATGTTAGGGGATGGTTTCTCTAAGCTATCTCTCCTTATTTCAAGTTTCAAGGCTAGATTGTAATTTTCTTTTTTTACTAAGATCTAAGCATATGTAATTCTTATCAGTTATCAGCAGTCAAAAAGAGTGTTGGTTCATTTTTGTTTTGGACCTATTGTTCGTTGACTTCATTGAGATTTGGTTTTTTTTCCTTTGTCTCTGTTAGAAACTCACAATTATAGAGGATGTGGCAGAGTAATCATATATTTAAATTAGTTATTATATACTTCTTCAGGCCTCGGGTTCACATTGCCAGAAAGAACTAAGAATAAAGGAATTTAGAGACTAAGAGGAAAATAAAATGTAGGGGGACAATCCCACCTATTCTAAATAGAAGCCAACAGGCGTTCATTTGCTGCCTTGAATCCCTCCCCCGCCCCCCGGGGGGGTTTAAGAAAAGAGAGAAAGAAGTTGCTTTTATGGTTTACTGAAGATGTGCATATTGGCGTGGCTGCCATTTGCTCAATGTCACTGTCTGCTTGGCTACCGCCACAGCAGATTGTAATGAGAGTACTTATTTAGTTGCAGTATATTTGAAGGGCCTGATATTACATTACTGTTTCAGTGCATTTTATGATATATATCTTTTTGTGAAAAGTGACTCTGACTTGGAGGATGAATCAAATTTGGTGCCGATTTTATCTGTTGCATAGTTTAGAAAGTCTTGTGCGGTGGTTTACTTTTAACTGCATCTCATGTTTCTCTTTTAGATAAGTCTCTGCGCATGAACTTCCTTTTTAAAATCTTTAACCTTTTTACTTCTTTAATATAACTTAATGTCATTGTGGGGGTGGCTTTGTAGCATTCTACCAGTTTACCCAGCAGAACCTTCCAGCTTGTAAACCTGTCCTTACACCAGCAACAGTAAGTTCTTTGACATTATTTGAATATTAATAGGTGCTTTGTTTCATAAAATGTGCGTGCTAAATCTCAATCATGCACTACGCAGGTCATTGCTGCATTTCTATTGATGGGTTGCATTTTCATTCCTGTTGGGCTTGTCACTCTTCGTGCTTCCTATAGTGTAAAATGCATTTCTATTTTCTTTTCATTCTGCGCGGTGATTTTTTTTCTTCTCTCTTCAAAAGCTTAACGCTTGGTGGAACATACTTTTGACCTATGGATTGTCAGGTTGTTGAAGTTGTGGATAGGTATGATGTTGAATGTGTTCCAGAAGAATATAGAAGTAACAAGGTTGCATATATCAAAGATGACTCAATCTCCAAAAATTGTTCACGATTCTTGAAGGTGATTAGTCATTTATCTTTCGACTGCATTAGTTAGTCATGCTATCTCTGCAGTCTTTGTTTGATCTCTGAGACCTTTTCCGGAATTCGCAATGTCAAAATCCTGTGGATACTTAGTTCTTTCATCATACATCTATTCACTTGTTTGCTTACGGTCCCTTAATTTTGTTTACAACTTGTCTGTAGGTACCTAAATCAATGAGAGCACCAATTTATATCTATTATCAGCTTGATAATTATTACCAAAACCACCGACGGTGAGGATGCTTTATTTCCCTTTATATACCATGGAGCTCTTGCATGGCATTGCATTCCCATTTCTTCAGTCTCTTCCACTTTCTTTTCCTCTCGTCTATTATTTTTTTTCTTGGTCCTGGTCTACAAATAATATGTATTTCATAAGTATATCCTCAAGTTTGGGGATTTCAATAACATCATGAGTATTTATGCTGGAGCTAAGCTGGATTTTGCTCCGTTCAAGACAATTTAGTTTTTGGTTGTCACCTCACCTGCCTGCTTTATCATCTGTGCTGCTTGTTGAATGTCTCTAGTACCCTTGAAGAATCGTGCAGAATGATTTTTCCATGTAAAGGCAGAAGATATCATAGTCAATTGTCATATAAAATGATCATATCCAAATTTTTAGGCCTTGAGCTATAAAATGGTCAGATACAAAAGGGCCTTGAAGCCCAAGCTTACGTTATGATTGCAGAGCTAAAAGGAAACTAAATTAAGAATTGAACTATCAATTGGTATTAAGTTATTTGATGGATATAACAGTCATTCTTTCTTTATGCAGTCACAATATTGTTATGCCCTTCCTCTTAATAAAGTGCTAAAAAGTTTAAAAGAGAGAGCTGGTAATTGTCCCTTGAAATGATTTTAGATATCTACACTGTTTCCCCTTCAAAAGCAACTTTTACTTTCCTGCCATTCACAACTTTTAGATCTACCAAATTATAAATCTCTGGGATCTACATGATATTTTCTAATTGTTCCCTTTGACATTTTAGGTCGCCTCTGAAAAATTAGTTGCGGATTTTGTTTGTCAAGTTTAGATTTTCTTAATTTCTTTTTGTTATTGTTCACCAAAATTTATGAGTTGAACCATGAGAAAGCTCATGCCACCTCATGGTATGCTTTCTGGACATTTGGTTGAGATGTTTATGGAATGAATATCATGTAGGGTACCCGAAAGCATTTCAAATTCTTCAATAGTAGATGTATAAAACGTGTTATTTATTTTCCTCCTTCTTTACATCCGTAAACATGAGTGCTTATATAATCAGTTTCTATTGCATGATTGCTATGGTCATTGAAGTCCTCGAAATTTGTTCAGGTATGTCAAGAGTAGAAGTGATCAACAACTCTTACAAGGACTTGGGCACAATGGCACCAGTTCTTGTAAACCTTTAGAGTCCTCTAATGGTCAGCCAATTGTACCTTGCGGGTTAATAGCATGGAGTTTGTTCAACGATACGTACAGATTTAGTCGAGGACCATCAGATTTGAAGGTCAACAGGAAAAACATTGCATGGAAGAGTGATCGTGATCATAAATTTGGGAAGCATGTTTACCCTTTTAATTTTCAGAATGGGACCTTGATTGGTGGTGGAAAGCTGAATCCGCATATTCCTGTAAGTTCCAAATCTTGCATACAATATATCACTTTACTTCCTTCCTAATTATGATATGGCCCATAGTTGATTTTCTATATTCTTTTGTCTATGAGAAAAAAGTTTAAATACAATTAATTTGTGGCTTCAGCTGCAATGCCTGATAGATT